GATTATAAGCCGAGGTTTGTAATAGCTTGACATTGTGAAATTGGCTCAGTTACTGCAAATTATTTGGAGGTATTCAAAATAAACCGAGTATTAATGGGGTTCTGTCATTGTGCTGTTATGGTGAAATCTGGCGAGTAAAGATTATTACAAAGCGTTTGTTTGGAACGTTTAGGACTCATTACAACGTAACGTTTTCGTATCCCTCGATTTCATTCCCCTACCCTATAAGCATGAATTCGTTGAACAGTCCTCTCTGAAGAATTATTACAAAGACATCTCCATAGGCTGCAAATCCATGACACATCTCTATAAGGAAAGCTAAACGGGGCAGTGTATCATGAATTCGATGAATCATTCGGACAGTCTTCAGGCAAGAATTAATACAAATCTTAAGACTCCTCTAGAAGATACACTAGTACACCCTGGGTGACTGATGCCCCATTTTAGAACCGGGTCTCTAGAGTATAAAGTGTCCTTTTGAACAACTAAAGAGGTTTTCTCGATTTTGTGGTTTAAGTGGAATTGCAGGTACCACAGACGTCTGATTGAAAATTGGAATGGTGCAAATTAATTCTATCAGTGTCCCCGATTCACATAAAATTTTTAGAAAACCTCTTTACAATGCAAACACAGGTACGTAGGTTTTAAATCCCTCGTTGGATGGTAGGATGGGCACAAGGTGCAGCATTGGAACATGCCGACCTGGATAGTTTATAAGTAGTTTAAACAAAAAAAAAGTTATATACCTTGTGGGTTCCGTGGGCGACTGAAAATTCCGAACAGCTTGACATTTGTCATGTATTCTGCACAAAATGTGGCATGTTATGAAAGTAGGCGGTAACATTACTCACGAATCTTATAACATTAACATAATTTATTCACATTTATGCTAATTAGTTTAAAAATGATTCGAGGTAAGCGAAATGAAACGAGTTTTTATATTATATTTCTGCGCCTAATTGAGCTAATGAACACGGGCAATTCCATGCGGTGTGCAATTAGGGAAATTATGCATTAGCCTGCTATATATATTATCGATTTCAAACTGTCGAGGGATCTTTAATCTGCACAGTCTTTAGCCTTCTAGGAAAAAAGAAGGGAGATCAAAATATAGAAATATAATAAAACTTAGGACTAAAAGGCGTACCATCAGGGAAATAGGGGGTACCTCTTTTGGCTATGCCCTATCACACTCCCATTCGAGACAGCGTCTAATTTTCATTTTCTTTTTGTGTTTTGTTGCAAAAGGGTATTAAACCATCAGGAGCGATATGACAAACCCCAAAAATTAATCAGAATCTCTTGAAAGTAGATATTCGTCTTGCAGAAAATACGATGATTTCAGTTCCTCAAGGTAACAAAAAAACCGTACCTCATGGACGCAGATATCACAATGCAACCAACCCGAAGAAGTAAAAATGCACAAACATCCCCTATCCGTACTTTTGCAAAAAACCCTAATATTGACTTTCTTGTTGACTGAATGACCTTCAGTGGAACTATTATCAAGTGGAACTGATTGATATGACAACCCCAAAAATTAATCGCAATCTCTTGAAAGTAGATACTCGTCTTGCAGGAAAACAGATGCTTTTGGTTCCTCATGGTGACAAATGAACCCTACGTCATGGACAGTACTTTCGATTACATCAATCTTTGCCACCCAAACAAATTCAATAAAACATTTCTACCGAGTACAAAGATACCACAATGCAAGCACCCTGAGGAAATAAAAATGCACAAACATCCACCATCCGTACTTTTGCAAAAAAGGTAAAAAATTATAAAAACCTAATATTGACCTTTCGTGGAATTATTATCAGATGGGACTGATCGAAATGATCTAAATAATTTTCAAAAACAAAATCGACAGAAAGACAAAATTGAAATAATAGGACAAATCAAGTATATCAATTAGACACCAGTATAAATATGTTTGAATTATTAAGATTTCTTGAAAATAAGCTTATTCCCATTCCCTGGTCATAATTACTTATATAAACAAACGATTCTTTTGATCAGAGGTTTTCTACCTGCGGGTTTACTACCCCAAAGAGGAATTTTAAGGGTTAATGAGACACTTTTTAGTCAAGCATAAAATATTTTGACAATTTAAATTTTTCTATTCAGTCAGACTATATTCTCCGACACGAAACGAAAAAAATTGCAGAGAAAATCTCGAAATAGTAAGGATTTATAGGAAGAAGGGGGTAAAGCATCGCTCTAGGATTCTGTTCTATAAGGGGCAATAGAAATGATTGAAAATTCATGCCTTAGATAATCTAGAAAAATATAGCTGTGATATTAATTTAATTAATAATATTTTAACAGTGGAAGAATTTTGTCTTATATTAAAATATAATTAAATAACGTAGATATATTTAATATCCCAATGTTGTGTATTTTATCGAAATATTGTAGTAACCGATGTTTTTAACAATAAGCTATTTTATTGCCGGAATTTTTCAAAAATGTTCTATTCAAAATATAGAAAATATTTCCAATGGATCGACCCTTTTCTCACGTTATATTATAAATAATTTTATGAAATTTAAATTATTCGTTTTCAAAAACATAAAGTGGATTTGTTATTTTAGGGGTAGCCTACTTTGCTAACTTACCAAAAAATAATTTCCACAGGTATTTTCATTAACTCTGAAGTTCTAATATGTTTAATCAAGGTTACCTGACATTGGATATTAATATGCGATCAATGTAAATATTTTTTAATTGTCCAGTTGCTTCAAAATTGGGTATGAAAATTTCATAGATATAAAATTAAAAATACACTTCAATATTTCATGATGCTTCGAAACAGCAATTTTTTGAAATAAATCAAAACATATTTTTGACAATTCGATTGATGAAATCGTACATCATGTAAAAAAATCTTTAAAATCCTTTTTCATAATTCTCAAACTGCTTAAATATTTCTAAATTATATTCCTGAAAATATGATGATTACGATAATTCAAATTTGATCAATTTTACCCAAAATATTTTCAAACAAATTAATGGAATATCTCTAGTGGAATTCAGTTTTATATCGAGTGGTCCAGAATATTATATTTTTGACAAGGGATTTTAAAAAGACTGGCGTATCAAAGTGTTTCCACCTATAGCATTGTAACTTGGTGAAAAGATGTCTATTATAATGGGGTAAAAAAAATCATGGTTTTAGATTTGGTACTGTTTGAACAATCCTAAAATAAAATTAAGGGTCACTTGATAATTCAGTTTCCATGGATTTTTGTAACCATCTTGGTATTATTCTGTGTGTTACAAATTTAATACCTGACAAAATTTCGTTCAAAATTCAAATATTTAATTGTTTGAGAAAATTAAGCATTCGTATATATTTTAGTAATTTCTTTTTTCTTATCATAAAATCATTTCGGCATATTAGAATTCTTTCCAATTAAATATCTACGACAAAATGATGAAAACTGAGTAATGCCTTTTTTAAATCTCTTTTTTAAAATAATTCATAAATTTATTCCCAGTTATCTTATTAATAATACCATATTTTCAAAACATCACTTTTAACTTCAAACATTTAGAAAACACAATTCAACAACAACCTTCATTGAAGATATAAATTATGTTAATTTATTCAAAATGAAATCTTCGCTTCGCGGAATCCAACTAAAAGTTGCAGAATAATTGTAATTGTCTAAATTCCTATAAAATACTACTGAAATTATATGATATAGAGCCAACAAGAGGTATAATTATAAGCTGTGTTTATAAGACATGTTAAGGATGATGTGGGAATACAAACTCCCATAAAAAGCACAGGCCAAGGTCATGAAGTTAGAACTATATACATGTATTTCTAAGTTCTGTTAAATCTAGTTCAGTTATTGTTTTCAAAAAAACAAAAATTATTATAACCTGGTCATCACGATCATCTGAATGTAGGCCTGATACAAACATTTTATATACACAAAACTTAAACAGTTTAGGCCTACAGTTCATTATCTAAATCAGCTATAAGTTAGTAATTCTACAGGGTCACTCGAAAGGTTGTACATTACATTATAGGCCTAGTAATAAAAAAATCAAATTTTATATCACCATAGAAACAAATTACTTTCAAAATAATACTTTGAAAATATCAATATTCTTGAATATATGTACCTAGCGGATATAATTGTTTCGAAAGATATGAATTTTGAATATTTTTTTCAATTTTCTCTTTTAATAAAATTCTGATAAAAATTAGAACATGAAAAATAAACCTTAATTGTTTCCAAATAATATATTGTATGTACCTTAGTTTTTTTTTATTTAATTATGTCTCTTTCTGTTCTTTTTTATACTAATAAAATATTTTCAATGTTAGAATAATGCTCAGTACATCGAGTGTATAGCAAAATAGAAATATTCTATTTCTATATAATACTGCCTAATATTTTCATTACATACTTGTAGCATTTACTAACTATAAGAAAATTACTACAGTTGAAACAGTTCTCAGTTAATAAATTACAACGTAAATGAGAAATTATAGGAACATTTTAAAATTGAAATCAAATTATACCGTCCTATAGTTTTAATATCTCGAAGTTTAAATATACTTTTTCGTCATTATAATTCAGATCATTTTCATATCAAAAATTATAAGATTTGAATCTTAATAGTAGTGTATAGTTTTTATATAGCAGAGGAGAAATAACATTGATATCAGAGACCCATACATTTATTCATAATCGAAAGAATGGGAGGGGGGTCAAATTAACAAATATTATCAATAAGAATCATCACTTCATAGTGTGCAAACTCGGCTCAATAGTCTTAATTCTATTTTGTATTTAACTAGGAAGTTTTTACCACTAAAGATGTCATTCCTTTGGGTAATGAGGCGCTTTGTAGTCTAGCATAATTTTTTGGGTTTTTTATAATTAAGTTGATCTATTTAATCAGGCTATATTCTCCCATATGAAAAAGATTGCAGGGACAACTTCAGAAAGAATCTCAATATTGTGAGGAATGATCAAGGATACTGTGGGGGTAGTGATCAAGGAGAAGGGGGTAATGATCAAGGATACTATGGGGGTAATGATCAAGGATACTATGGGGGTAATGATCAAGGATACTATGGGGGTAATGATCAAGGATACTGTGGCGGTAATGATCAAGGATACTGTGGGGGTAATGATCAAGGATACTGTGGGGGTAATGATCAAGGATAATGTGGGGGTAATGATCAAGGATACTGTGGGAGTAATGATCAATGATACTGTGGGGTAATGATCAAGGATACTGTGGGGGTAATGATCAATGATACTGTGGGGGGAATGATCAAGGATACTGTGGGGGTAATGATCTGTGGGGGTAATGCTCAAGGATACTGTGGGGGTAATGATCAATGATACTGTGGGGGTAATGATCAAGGATACTGTGGGAGTAATGTTCAAAGATACTGTGGGGGTAATGATCAAGGATACTGTGGGAGTAATGATCAATGATACTGTGGGGTAATGATCAAGAATACTATGGGGGTAATGATCAATCATACTGTGGGGGTAATGATCAAGGATACTGTGGGGGTAATGCTCAAGGATACTGTGGCGGTAATGATCAAGGATACTGTGGGGGTAATGATCAAGGATACTGTGGCGGTAATGATCAAGAATACTGTGGGAGTAATGATCAAGGATACTGTGGGGGTAATGATCAATGATACTGTGGGGGTAATGATCAAGGATACCATGGGGGTAATGATCAAGGATACTGTGGCGGTAATGATCAAGGGTACTGTGGGGGTAATGATCAAGGATACTGTGGCGGTAATGATCAAGGATACTGTGGGGGTAATTGAATGATGATTTAGAAGGACATGAAACATATTTAATATGAGAATATTTGTGGTGAAATAATCAAGAAATGTTCTAAATGTTTGGTTGATTTTACCAACATACTGAAGACTGTTATAGTTATATTTGGTCATAATTTATAAAAGTTTTAGACAAGTCGAAGTATAAGTCGCTAAACATTTTTTGATATTCTCGTAAATAGTAAATATTGACCCTTTGTAATTACTCTTATCTATACTGTAAAAGAAACGTAAACCTAAACAAATCGTCGATATTATGGTGGCCTTGATGAAGGAGTACATATATTGTAAATATATGACCTGGGTCGTAAACAGAACATTCTCGGGCAAATGACTAAAACAAAATTCTGAATTTTTGAAAACGACAAAAATTGATCATGCTTTATAAAGATTTTCATTGTTTTATTTACAGTTTGTATATTTATTCTATAATTTAACGGAATGTAGATTATAATTTAGTTTAACAAAATTAATATCGAGAATGTATATCATTATATACGTATTAAATATTTTTAAAAAATTCCATAAAATTGCTCGTTATTTTACTTTAAAATTCAGCATAAAATTATTCTATGATTTATTACCTTATCACAGTTCTAAACTTTCTACATAAAACTAGAATTTAATTAATAAATAATTACGATTAGATAACCTCTCTCTGCAGTAATTATATTGTATATATTGCTTAATTAGAATTATTTGTCAATCTTGTCAATATCTCATCAAAAATAATACTTTCTATCGCTACAAATATAGCAAAAATAAACTATGTAAATTTGTCTATTTTCATGCTGTAATATGTGGACTCTACTCGTGGCCTAGGCCAGTGCTTTTATAACACTTAATGCTACATGTACATTTATAAGATCATTTTAGAAATATAGAGCACTATTTTAAAAGTGAAAATAATTGGTTATTTTTATATCTTCATTATAAATCAGTTTTTGTTAGATGAAAATATATTTTGTTATATATTCTTCTATATGAAACTACTATTATGTATATTGAAAATAAATTTTCTGTAGGCTACACATATATTTTATCATATTAACTACTTGAATACTTTTATAAAATACGCCTAGAAAGATGTATAATGTACGTGAAACTGTTACTTAAATTGGGTAAAACGTTTATCGCAAAATACCTACTTTTATATCAAATTTTTTATTGCCTGCAGTAAAATTGTAAGATGTATGTATGTCTAGGTCATTTAACGAATTTAATTTTGGGGGGTAATTTATCAGGATTCTTTTTGGCATTTTTATCATCCGAATATTCAATTTGATATCGAGATAGCAGTTCATACAAA